TCCTGCTGAGAAATATCCCCCCATGTGAACCTGACACCCCCATCTTCATGTGTGTACTTTTGGTCGCTCATTTGCTCACTTAGACCTCTCTCTCCTCGCTTTCATTCTTTTATCCTTTTGTATATTACACTTCTCTTCTGTAATGTTGGTCTACCAACTCTTAATTCTCAGCAGCAGGTTCAAGAAAACAGAACATCACTGCGGTTATTGTCCTTAAAGCTTTCTCTCCTGGCTATTATATTGTATGCTGGTAGCTATGTGGTAATGCGGAGAGGATTTTCCTGCAGTATGAGTAATAAATAGACATTTAAGGTGGTTGACTTCACTGCTTTCACCATTTCATGAGCACTGCTCCCCTAAATGACCCCAGAAAAGCGTGAATGGGGGGAATACCGAGTGAAGTGAAGAGCATCTCATTTTCCTCTTCTCCTCTCTTTTTGTGTCTCAGGGGGCTTTCAGCTATAAATGGCGTGCTCTATGGTGCACACCCCATCCCATTCTTGCCATATGCCCTCCTCCAATCTTCCCACAATCCCCCTGGGGAGACCTGGGCCTTCCACTTTGCTCGCCCTGTTGCAGGAGAAAATTACCCAACTGCCAACATATTTGTGACAGTTTAGTGAGCGCTCCGTCTAAGAATATGGCAGTATAGATGCTCTATTGGTTCTGGATCATTTAGAATCCAATTTAATCCAGGCCTCTAGGAAAAAAGGCCAAATAAAAACAAAGTGCCTTAATTAAGAAAGCTGGGTAGCTCTGGACTGTTTATGTGGCAGGTCACTGTTTGGTTTGCTTTTGGGCACAATTTTTTTATTCAGTGCATATCAATTCTGAGTTCTTTAAACTAGAATGTAGAAAATGAATGGATAATCAATAAAGAAAAGAAAAAGTCTTTAAACTGTGAGCATACTGTTTTGAAATATCACACTATCCCCCCCAACCCACCAGATAATACTCAAGGCTTGGCCACATCATTTCTCTCCCTGGCTTAATGTGCTGGTCCCCCCCATACCAGAGAAAACAGCTGGCCCCCTGCAGACTCCTGTTCTGGCAGCTCAGAGGAGAGATGGAAAGACCTCATCCTCTGCTGCAAGCTCTTTTGTATTCAAATAGTCTCCTTGTTAAGTCTTCCCTACAGACAACGGTTTGTTGTGTCACAGCCAAAGGCTAAGTGAGTTTATGTGTGTATGAGCTGGCCGGAGAGTCTAGTTACAGCAGGCTTTTAGTGTGGGCTGCTTCTATATTTTGTAGCTAGAGACTAGAGACTGTGTGTTTTTAGTGTTGGAGCTAATTGAAGATCAGGTTGTGTGCTTGTCAGTGTCTGTACCCTTCTGTAACTGATGGAGGTGATCAGGCATTCTGCGGGGGTGACTGAAGTGTGGCTAATAGAGTAGAAGCTATTGGTCGCTCTTTACATAACCAGATGGTATTGACATTGGTAGAAAGAATGTCAATAAACATGTTAGTGCTGGCACTAGTTTATAGCACCCAATCGTCAATAAGAATAGATTTGTTCTCCAGAACACTGTATGTCATATTTATACAGTAGAGTACAGGTATCTGTCTGCTTTATGCCCAGCAATGCTCTAAATTAGATTTTTTAAACTCCAATACTTGTGTGATAAATATAGACTTGTATAGACTGAGGTATTCTCAGTTGATGTCCACACTACCTGCCCTTTCACATCAGTAGGATTTCAGAGATTCTATTGGTGGTCGCAATCAGTGGTTAGTGCACAGTTTTGCTGAAGTTGTATGTGGGATGGATACGAACAGAAGAGTGACAGCCAGGAAGAAAGATGTTGACTCCAGCTGCTGTCTTGGCTGTTACTTTTCTACATGCCAGCTCGTCTTCTGGCGACCTTCTCGCTCAACGTGCCAGCCACGCCCCTGAGCCCTCCTCCTGAATATGGATGCCCTGCTCACTTAAACACTCTGGCACTGCTCCCGCTTTCCTCTTTGTCTCTGCCTTTCAGCTCAGACCTCACCCCCCCTTCCTAATCACCTTCAGTCTGCTTTTGGGAAGGTGAGAAGTTTCACTCTTCAAAGCTGGGGAATTATCAAAGTGCACTGCAATGTGGTGAAACTTAAAAATGATCTCTGAGTGGCGCTTGTACATGTCTTCATTGTAACAGTGCAACTTTTTCCACACAGATGTCAATAATGTTTCCATATGTTGATGAGGTCTACAATATATGATTTCACTGCAAGTGTGCTGTTACACTTGACACTCTCCTATCTGTGTTTGTTAAGCTTTCTTTCTTACCAGTCTTTTTAATTGCTGAAACTTTTCCTGTTGGTTGCAGTTGCACCAACCCCTTCCTCTGCTGCCCAGCTTTTTATTTATTTTTTTTTTTGGTATTTTGGCAGAGTGGTTGCACTCCTGCCACCTTGGCCACCTCACAGAGAGACCGAGTGCCAGCAACCTGACCTGCAGTTGATTTTCTGCCAGTGCAGGTTTCTGATGCCCCACTAGAGTTGGCAGTATAGCATTAGTTGAGCTCAGCACATACACAGAGTATCAGTGCCTGTATGCATGTTCACATTCCCATATACCGTACTCACTTAGAGGCCCCTCACTGTCATGGGTCAGCACTGAAGAAACTGCACCTCTCTCTCCTGGAGCCTCTTTGAGCATTCCCTCTCACCTCACCTCTTCCTCTTGGCTCATTTCTCCCCATCTCTCTCCTGCCAACCTTGCTCCTCACACCCGTATTTGGCTTCAGATACTGCCACTGGGGAAGTTCTCACTCATCGCTGCTAGTCTTGTTTCATACCCAAATAAAACAACTTCACAAGAAGATTCTGTGCCTCGGGACTTCAGCTGGGTCTGACATACTCGGTCTTATCAAACATGTTTAAAGGACATGAAAGAGTGGGTGAAAGTCAGTCTATTGTGTGTCAAACAGGACAGAGTACCAAGACCACAGAAAAAAAAAGACAGAAAAAGTGCGTAAATTTGTATTTCCCATGCAACAGTCTTCATGCTTGTATTTGTTGTATAGTGATTCCTGTTGGCTTCCTTACATACACAGTCTGTAGAGGCAGGGGATTACAGTGAAGCCGCCCCTGCATAAGCAGTGGTGGGAGTAACTGCATATGCACGGCACTCTTCTACCAATCCTATCTTTAGTTGCCTACTCCCTTGGATCCAAACGGGGGATTTGACACAGGATCTTACAGCAGCATTGACACTTCATCTTTGTGCTTCTCATTGTGACCTATCAATAGGTCTTCTGTTGGGGTATTTATGCAAGAGCAGCCTGAAAGGAAACCAGTTTGAACTGTTGAGCCTAAACATGTAGTGTGCACACACTGCAGATGCATAGTATGAATGTGAGAGCCGATGGTGTGGCTTAAAGCCAGCTGGCAGTCTTCTGCAACTTCACACCCTTTAACCAGGGTTAGAGATGGTTTAAAGGTTTTCTTTATCAATTTTTATCATCTGGCATGTACTACACATTAATTGTATCTAGTTTGTGGATGGATACAGGTTTTTGACATGTCCCACTTAAATGTCATCAGTGATGAACTGGAAGCATTAAAAAAATACTGACTCAAGCCAGTTAAATTAGGATGAACATGTTTTTTTCCAAAGTTTATTTTGGTGAACATTCAGGTCACTACTTGTTTACATTAAAATGGGTTAAAATAATCCTCATATACAGAGACATCATTAACAGAGCTGCACCGATCGATCAGCAGAAATGGAAATTGGCTGATTTCCAATTTTGTGCTGATCAGATTTAGAGGCATGACAATCCACATCACGTACACAGTAGCACAGACCAAAAGCATAGCGTGTGCAGTGCGTAGCATCTCACGTGCACCTTGAGCGAGGCTCATGTTCGTGTCTATACCGGGTGTGTTTGCTTGGTGTACAACCATCGCACAGAGGAGTCTGCAGAAGCAACTCGGAGAAGATAAAACTTTGTCTAAATCTCTGATAAATAGTACACAATGAGCGAATTACTGGCTACACATAAAATGCATGTACAGTATATGTACAGTGTATCCAAACCGTGGTAAAACACAGCAAATACAAACTCCAAAACTTCAAAAAGAACTGTGCTCAGAAGTAACAGACATTCTAACAGACCAATATCAACACAATCCAACCGTCCAAATCCATGTTAACATCAGGTGTATGGGTCCTCATCGGAAGGATCTTAATGAAAAACATTGACCTGAAAATGAATTGGTTTCCAGTGGTTCTTTTGTATGGGTTGCAGAATGAGGTGCATAAAAACAGATGTAAAGCTTTAAGTTATTACCATCAACATGTGGTCAGTCATGTCTGTCCTACAAATACACCACAATGTTTCTATACACAGGAAGGGTCTGTAACTGAAGCTCGGCTTGAATGAATACATTCAGAATCTCAGAGCAGTGACCATGGAAGCACTGTCTTCTCATTAACAAAATGGTGAATGATGTAACTTTTCCAAAGAATGGTGTTGCATCCCTCCAACAGAGCAGAATGTATGTTAGTGCCTTGCTTTTCTTTTTATTGGCAATTAGCTTTAATTTGCTGTGATCTCTGCAGCAGTCAGAGTTGGTAGCTGTTATCTTTTGGCCGTGTATGTGAGCGTTTGTGACTGTTAGGTGACTGTAGATAGCTGTGACCGCCCACACAGTGTGACTATTATACGCACAAGAACTTCAGCACCTTTCCTGTGTCTTTGTAGTGCAACTGAGTGTTAAAGAATCCTTCCTGCCACTGTCAGAGATAATTGGCACTCTATAAACACATGATAATTGGACTGCTTTGATCCCTGCAATTTCGCACTTCTTGGCCAAAGAGGCACAACAGTTCTGTCTCATGTTTACCACTAGTCTTTATGTGGCAGCGAGAGGATAGAGAGAGG